CCGCTGGTTTATGTGAATGTGCAATCACCGCCTGTTGTCTGAAAACCTCCCCCGACCTGTTTCGTCCTCGTCGCCCGCTGTCCTTTGTTTAGGACCATCGTACCTGTGATTTGTCCGAGACGCGCTGTACTGTATACTCGCAGTATGAAGACGCTTGTTTTACATTTTTTTTTTGAATGTCTGTAACCATCTGCCATTGTAAAAAAGAAAAAAAAACAAACAAAAAATCCTGAAAACAAAACAGTCAAAGTGCCTTCACCGCTTAAGGCTCAAAAAAAAAAAAAAAAAAACAAACAAAAGACAAAACCTTACGAACTGATTCCTCACATCCTATGCAAGTGTTTTGTACAACCTGCATAACCAGAACTTTGTATGACTTGTTAACACTCGGACTGTACATAGTGTTTCTAAAGAATAGTATTTTTTATTTAGGTACTTCAGACTTGAATTTGTGTCCTGTGTTGGTACTTGTATGATGCCGAATCTCCCTCTCCCCCCCCTCTCATCCTCCCCCTCTCCCCCATCTCTCCCCCCCCCCCCGTCTCTCCCCCTCTCTTCCCTCTCCCCCCCTTCTCTCCCCCCTCCCCTTCTCTCTCTCCCCCCTTCTCTCTCTCCCCCCCCTTCTCTCTCTCCCCCCCCTTCTCCCCTTCTCTCTCTCTCTCTCCCCCCCCTTCTCCCCCCTCCCCCCTTCTCTCCTCCCCCCCTTCTCTCCTTCTCTCTTGCTCCTCTCCCCCCTCTCCCCCCTCCCCCCTCTCCCCCCCTCTCTCTTTCCCCCCCTCTCTCTTTCCCCCCCTCTCTCTTCCCCTTCCCCTCCCTCCTCCCCCACCCTGTCTCTCTCTCCTCTCATCCTCTCTTCGCCCCTTCTCTCTCCCCCCTCTCTCTCTCACCCCCTCCCTCTCTCTCCCTCTTTTCCCTCCTCTCCCTCTCCCTCTCTCTCCCTCTCCCATCCTCTCCCCTCCCTCTCTCTTCCTCTCCCCCCTCCCTCTCTCCCCCTTCTCCTCTCTCTCTCTCTCTCTCTCTCTCTCTCTTTCTCTCTCTCTCTCTCTCTCTCTCTCTCTCTCTCTCTCTCTTCTCTTTCTCTTCTCTCTCTCTCTCTCCCTTCTCTCTCTCTCCCCTTCCCCCCTCCTTCTCTCCTCTCTCTCACCCTCTTCCCCCCCTCTCCCTCTCTCCCCTCCCTCTCTCCCCCCTTCTCTCTCTCTCCCCCCTTCCCCCCCTTCTCTCTCTCTCTCCCCCCCCTTCTCTCTCTCTCTCCCCCCTTCTCTCTCTCTCTCTCCCCCTCTTCCCCCCTCCTTCTCTCCTCTCTCTCACCCTCTTCCCCCCCCCTCTCCCTCTCTCCCCTCCCCTCTCCCTCTCTCCCCTCCCTCTCCCCCCCCTCTCCCTCTCTCCCCTCCCTCTCCCCCCCCTTCTCTCTCTCTCTCCCTTCTCTCTCTCTCCCCCCTCTTCCCCCTCCTTCTCTCCTCTCTCTCTCACCCTCTTCCCCCCCCTCCCTCTCTCCCCTCCCTCTTTCCCCCCTTCTCTCTCTCTCCCCCCTTCTCTCTCTCCCCCCCCCCCTTCTCTCTCTCTCTCTCCCCCCCTTCCCCCCCCCTTCTCTCCTCTCTCTCTCCCCCCCCCTCTTCTCTCTTTTATGGATACCATTGCTGTTGTACAGAGGTTTTCACCGCAGTTCTATTTTTCTACTGTTACTGACAAGCATGTAACACGGACTTTATCCTCCATCTAGATGGCTTTTCCAATAAATGGCTTGTATAGAACAAGTCTCCCGGCTCTTTGTGTGTGTTTGTTTTATTCTGCCCGCCCTGCGTGACATTTCCTCCATTGCTGCTCAGCAAGTGGCGGCTCATTCTGGGGAGCTCAGTGCTGGTTCTCATACAGATCTGTGAGGTCAGAGCCGTGGATGGGATGGGGGAGGGGGGCACCACCAGTCTTCCTGTATGCAGGACCGGGGCTACTACTAGGCAAACTAGGCAGCCGCCTAGGGGCACAACCACGGCTGCTGACTTCCCTACTCTACACCATGGCCGGATCTAGGGGGGTGCTGGGAGGAGGGGCTTTGGGGAAAGTGGGAGGATTTTAAGCTGGGAACGGAAATTTGGAGGGGGTTTATCTAGAGGAGGAATATGGGAAAATTTGTCCAAGGTGGGGGGATTAAAGGAAGAGAAGTGATTCTGGGAGGGGGATTGGGGGGAGGGATTGGTGCTAGGAGAGAGGATTTGGGGGTTGTGCTAGAAGGGAGGATTAAGAAGGATTTGTGCTGGGGGGGGAGATTTGTGCTAGGAGAATGGGATGGGGGGATTTGTGATAGGAAGGGGATTTGGGGATTATGTTAGAAGGGAGGATTGGGAGGGATTTGTGCTGGGGGGGGGGAGGATATGTGCTAGGAGAGGGGATTGGGATGAAATTTGTGCTAGGAGAGGGGATGGGGGTGCTTGTGCTAGAAGGGAGGATTGAGAAGTGGTTGTGCTGGGAGTGGTCATTTGGAGGAGGTTGTGCTGGGAGGTGGGATTGGGAGGATTAATACTGGGGGGGGGGGCATTTCAGCGAGAGGATGTGTGCTAGGGTGGAAAATTTAAGGGGAAAGGGGATGTATGCTGGGGGTGGGGCGGGGAGATTAGAACTGCAGATTAAATTTATTTTTTATTTTTTTTGGGAGGGGGGGGGGGGGGGGCGTGTGCAAGTAGTTGGTCTTGCCTAGGGTGCAAAATGGTCTAGCTCCAGCCCTGCATGTATGGGGCCTGTGTAGCTGGGTGAATCAAATGTGGGCAGGGAGGGTGATGATGGACAAGGCAGGAGATCACTTACTGGAACCAATCCCCTGTAAGGCTCTCTGCAGCAGCTGGAAGCTCTTTATCTCCTCTCCCTCCCCATAGCTTTCAGCTGCTGCAGAGAGCCTTATAGGGGATCAGTTCAAAGTAATTGCCCCCCCAATCACCCTCCCTGTGCACCATACATTTCACAATGGGTGCCCCCACCCCTACAATGCTACTGGTTTCCATTCTTTCCTTCCCACTGCTGCAGAGAGACCACAGCCAATACCAGTGACTGTTCCTTTGTCCTCTGGTGCAGGAAGACTGCAGACAATACCAGCGACCGGTCCTTTGCCCTCTGCTGCAGGGAGACCACAGACTATTCCTCCCACTGACACCAATGATGGGGCACTATTCCTCCCACTGACACCAATGATGGGGCACTATTCTTCCCACTAATACCAATGATGGGGCACTATTCCTCCCACTGATACCAATGATGGGGAACTATTCCTCCCACTGATACCAATGATGGGGAACTATTCCTCCCACTGACACCAATGATGGGGCGCTATTCCTCCCACTGACACCAGTGATGGGACACTATTCCTCCCACTGACACCAATGATGGGGCACTATTCCTCCCACTGACACCAATGATGGGGCACTATTCTTCCCACTAATACCAATGATGGAGCACTATTCCTCCCACTGACACCAATGATGGGACACTATTCCTCCCACTGACACCAATGCTGGGGCACTATTCCTCCCACTGACACCAATGATGGGGCACTATTCCTCCCACTGACACCAATGATGGGACGCTATTCCTCCCACTGACACCAATGATGGGGAACTATTCCTCCCACTGACACCAATGATGGGGCACTATTCCTTCAACTGACACCAATGATGGGGTGCTATTCCTTCAACTGACACCAATGATGGGGCACTATTCCTCCCACTGACACCAATGATGGGGCACTATTCCTCCCACTGACACCAATGATGGGGCGCTATTCCTCCCACTGACACCAAAGATGCGTTGTTTATTCCCACTGATTCCGGGACAATTTCTACACCCCATGGCCACAGTCCAGCCCCCCCAAAAGTCTGTTAAAGAGTAAATCGGCCCCATGTTTAGAAAGTTTAGAGACCCCCTGGTAGATTTACCAGAACAAATCAGAGAAGTTCATAAACTTTCTTTCCACTGTTGATAAAGTCCCAGTGACACCATGTAACAGGCAAACCATTTTTATTCAATAATATCTGTATACAGAGCTTACAATGTATCCATCACCAGGAATAGGAAACAGAAAAAACAACAACAACCTGCCGAATATATCATAATAAATCATCACCCAATTCAGTGAAAGCCCAACTCCGGCCAAAACCTTTCCCTTCTAGTGCTGGATAGAGCGGGGGAGGGTACGAATGTCTGTGGGGATCCCCCCCTTCTCATCTCTCTGACACCAGGATATGAGGTTCTAGGGGTCACCGGGACAGGTAGACACAGACAGCAATAGACGACGCCTGCCAGGGGGGTAATCCTCCCCCAGAACGTTTGCAGTCGCTCCTCACTAGAGACCTATATTTTACCTTCCCTGGTTCCCCTCCCCCATCGTCAGTGTCAGAATGATATTTTTAAATAAAACTTTTCCCTTTTCATTGCATATCTTGTTTTAGTCCCAGCGATGTCATCACTGGGTCTCTGTGCTTCCCCAGGCAATGCAGGTAGAGCGTGGCTGGTGAGAGGGGCCAGCAGGGGGCCTCAGTACTCCTCGGCCTCAGTCCTGATGGAAGCAGTGGGCTGGCTTTTTGGGGAGGAGTTATGCAAAATGGGCGGGATGTACATAGCTTTCTGGAAACATCACAGCAGCCCTGCCCCAGTACTCCTCCCAGGAGCCCTCAGTCCTGATGCAAGCAGTGGGAGGAGTTATGCAAATAATAGCATGTTGTGAGGAGTTGTCAGTCTGGAGGAGTGGGCGGTCCTAGGCAGGCTGTGTTTGAATAGGGAACGCCCACATGTGATGCCGAGCCTTCATGATTGAAAGAACTGAAATCCAGTGAATGAAAGGGGCGGGGCCAGGGACAGTCAGGCTGGGGAGGAAAGAGCTAGATGCTGCTGGACATCCTCCAGCAAGGAAATGAGGCGGAGCTCTATCTGTCTGACTGCAGCTTCTATTGCACATTGTGAGAAGCTCCCAGTGTGCGGTGACATCAGAGGAAGCCATTCCAGTCCAGGGGAGGAGCCAGTACACCTGTGCAAGACTGAAGGGGAGGAGCCGGGACACCTGTGCAAGACTGAAGGGGAGGAGCCGGGACACCTGTGCAAGACTGAAGGGGAGGAGCCGGTACACCTGTGTGAGATTGAAGGGGAGGAGCCAGTACGCCTGTGCAAGACTGAAGGGGAGGAGCCGCTACACCTGTGCAAGACTGAAGGGGAGGAGCCAGTACGCCTGTGCAAGACTGAAGGGGAGGAGCCGGGACACCTGTGCAAGACGGAAGGGGAGGAGCCGGTACGCCTGTGCAAGACTGAGGGGGAGGAGCTGGTACACCTGTCCTAAACTGAAGGGGGAGGAACCAGCATACCTGTACAAGACTGAAGGGGAGGAGCCAGTACACCCATGCTAGACTGGAGGGGAGGAACTGCTACACCCATGCAAGACTGAAGGGGAGGAGCCTGCGCACCTGTCTTAGCCTGAGGGGGAGGAGCCAGTACATGTGCAAGACTGAAGGGGAGGAGCCAGTGCATGTGCAAGACTGAAGGGGAGGAGCCAGTACATGTGCAAGACTGAAGGGGAGGAGCCGGTACACCTGTGTAAGACTGAAGTTCGATGGTATTGCTGCCCCTCTGTCACCAAGACAAGAAAAAAACAATACAATCCAGCAATAAAAGCCCAACAGAGGTCCAAGCACTCTTCTGCTCTATCCAGAACCACAAGTAAATCAGTTTGGCTGGAGATGGTTGATATATGTGTAGCTCAGTAACGCCTTTCTTACACACCATAAATATGGAGATATGTGGCCACCTACCTACAGCGGGAGCCTCTTTGGCACATCTATATTTATTAATCGCCCAGAATTGGGGACGTCCTTCGAGAAGTCTTTGGTAAGTGCAGCATGGCCAGGGATAGGCAAACCATTGATTTGTCCTCTTCTGATTGTGTAGTCTTGTTTTTTTTATGATCACTAAAATATCTGGGGTCACCTGGAGTGGGTGTGGCTTCCATGAGTGGGCGTGCCTTCAATGAGTGGGGGTTCTGTTTTGTTATGATTGACAGATCTGAGTTTGATGCCCTTAACTGTGGGAGGCCGGGCCAAGGGGTGGGCAGAGGGGCAGAACCAAGCAAGACCCAGTTGAAGACAATGTCAAGGGGAATCCTGTGATCTCTGAGCGAGGGAATAAATACCTGGAAGGGTTACATATTACTGAGAGCCACCCTAAGGTTGGTCCACTCTAAAGCAGAAGTAAACATTCCCATCCAATGGCCAAGAAACTCCAACCCTCACCTCTTGGGGTTCTCCAAACGTCTCATAACAAGTCAATGGACCAATATTTGTTTGCGTACTGCATATAGTAACAAAGGCCGCACCACCTTTCCTCCCCCTGAAGCCTCAGCCATCTTGGATGACCCATCGTCTACCTTCTCCATCCCCTCTTCCATTGACTTGGCACATTGGCTATAAATCCTGCTACTGAGGAGTTAATAGACACATGGGGGGGGGGGCAGCTGAAAGGGGACAATACACAATGACACCGGAGCGGCAATGCAGAGGTTGGGGCTGGCATCATCCTAACAAGGGCCCCTGAGGATCTCCACATGGAAAGGAGGCCAGAATCAGAGGACACACTGAGCATGTGCAGTACATGTTCCCTGCTTTAAGGGCGGAGATAACTCAGCAAGTTGAAGGCTTTGAAGGAGGTCACCACTATGGAGGTCACGTGTGCCTTATATGGGGAAAGCGTTGGCTTCTGCTTTAAGGTGGAATAGGTCTGGACTGGATGTAATTGGTCAGATTTTAACCACTTTAAAAACCCTCCCCCTATAGCAGTTTTACTGCTACAGGGCAGCTCTTCTGTGCAGAATCATATATATATACACATATACACACACACACACACACACACACACACACACACACACACGCACACACACACATATATACATACATACACACACACACACATGATTTTGCACTTCCGCCTCATGGTGGAATGCCTGCGGTGCCCGTGGATCACTTCTGCTGTGAAATGTCACAGCAGAAGCCAATCTGTGAGTCCCAGATCATCGGGCAGGGTGGAAGAACAGGAGGAAGTGATCGATCATGTGTCCTTGCAGAGCTGGGAACACGATCCATCACTTCCTCTTGTAGCAGCACCATCTAATGTACACCAAGCACATAGCTAGGCAACACTTCAAGCTCTATTTGTTGGGGGAGGGGGAAGAAGACATGAATTTCATTTGGGTACATCGTCTCATGACTGCACAATTGTCAGTTAAAGTAACGCAGCGCTGTATCTCAAAATATGGCCTGGTCAGGAAGGGGGGAAATCTTCTGGGGGCCGAGTGGTTTTTTAATTTGAAGGTTTTAGTAAACATTCCCTTGAGGTTTGGGTGATGTAAGATGGGCCTTACAAAATTGGTATTTATCGGACATTGTTCTAGAAGTGACCCAGTAAAGGTTAAAAAAAAAAAAAAAAAAAAATCAGGTCATCAGGAACCCCCCCCCCCCCCCCCCAAGTATCCACTGGGTAGCTTCTGGAAGGTTCTGGTTCCTTGCAAGACCTTCAGTCTCAGCATGCAGCATCTGTGTTGGACAGAAGTCAAGTCTAAGAACTACGATTTCTCTTATTAGGGGTTCCCGCATTGCATTGTGGGTTGTGACTGGGTGTGCCCCTGCCTGACTTTCCAAAAACTGATGCTATGCATAGTTCCCCCTATTGGAATTGTCCGGAAAGATGAACAGACATGGAGGTCCTATAACAGTAAACAAGCAGGTTGACTTTGAAGGAAACTATTCCAGAGAGAAGTCCGGAGGCGGACATCACTGAGCTCCTTCTCAAGCTGCCCCACCGATTAGGACTCCAATACTGCGAGTCACTCATTTGGAACAAGCATGCAGCCAGTGAGCGTGGAGGCAAGTCTGAACACCTGACCTGCAAAATTCCAGATCAGCAACTCGACGTATGGAAAGTCAGTGTGTCAACACGACAGCCAAGAAACCAAACCCCTCCGTAGAGTCCCTCAAAAGATTCTACAAACCTGAAAATGTAAATATTTCATCACCACTATACCCAAACCATCAAATCTTTATATTCTGCCCCAAAAACAGAGAAGGGGTTTGACTCTAATTTCAAGCTGTGAGGTAACACAGACAGTTTTTATTTCAGATCAATCAAGCTTTGTGTTTTCAATACATTACACCCCCTCCCCCTTCCCAAATTATGGAAACTGAACCCTTTAAACCCCAAATAAATGTTAAAGGTGAAGGACGGGTCTCCCAAAATAAAGCCGCGTGTGTTCAGAAAAAGGACTTTTCATTCAATTTAGTGTCTTTAGAAGGAGAAAGATGCTGCCAGGGGTGGCAGCACTGGTGCTCATATCTCCAAAATGTCACAATATTGGCACATGGCAAAATATTAAAGATGGCCATATCTCAGGTTACTGTCCCGTCATCTTCTAGCAGACGTTCAATCCTTCAAGGAGTCGTTCTTCATTAGGATGCGATCTGAAAGATGGAACAAGAGGTCAGAGCCAAAATCCTGCACCAGCTTGAAGAGTCATCGCCCTACGATATCAATCCCTGATTGGTGACAATCTCCACCTATTGCGTCACCACCAGCCATTTCCTGCTCCCTGATTGGTGACATTCACTGACTGTTCCCGGATATTCCCCTCCTAATGTGTGACTATCTGCCTCGACCAGTTACTGAGAGGTGTATTCTGTGAGCTGAGATAAGAGAAGAGATATCTGAAGCAACCTTCTATAATAGGCTTCCCTCTAAGACCTTTCCTGGAGAGAATGTCACAATGAGGGAGGTCTTGTCCTCTTGAGGTCTGCTCCTTGCCGGGGATTCTGAATCTGAGCTGACCTATGCTAGGACCTAAAAAGGAACAGAAAGGTGGCTACCCAGAAGGAAAATCACCAAGGAAACAGCTTAAGGAATCTGCTATGAGAAAGGCTACCCATAGGGAGAATCTTCAAAGAAAGGGTCTAAGGAATCTACACAGAGGGAGAATCTTCAAAGAAAGGGTCTAAGGAATCTACTATGAGATGGGCTACGCATAGGGAGAATCTCCATGGAAAGGGTCTAAGGAACCTACTAGGAGGGGCTACCCACAGGGAGAATCTACAAGGAAAGGGTCTAAGGAATCTACTAGGAGGGGCTACCCACAGAGAGAATCTCCAAGGAAAAGGTCTAAGGAATCGATTATGAGAGGGGATACCCACAGGGAGAATCTCCATGGAAAGGGTCTAAGGAACCTACTAGGAGGGGCTACCCACAGGGAGAATCTCCAAGGAAAGGGTCTAAGGAACCTACTAGGAGGGGCTACCCACAGGGAGAATCTCCATGGAAAGGGTCTAAGGAATCTACTATGAGATGGGCTACACATAGGTAGAATCTCCATGGAAAGGGTCTAAGGAATCTACTAGAGGGGCTACCCACAGGGAGAATCTCCAAGGAAAGGGTCTAAGAAATCGATTATGAGAGTGGATACCCATAGGGAGAATCTCCATGGATAGGGTCTAAGTAATCTACTAGGAGGGGCTACCCATAGGGAGAATCTCCAAGAAAAGGATCTAAAGGAATCTACTAGGAGAGGCTATCCACAGGGAGAATCTCCAAGGAGAGGGTCTAAGGAATCGATTACGAGAGGGGATACCCATAGGGAGAATCTCCAATGAAAGGTTCCAAGGAATTTATTATGAGATGGGCTACCGACTGGGAGAGTCTCAATGGAAAGGGTCAAAAGGAATCTACTATGAGAGATGGCTACCCATAGGGGACTCTCTAAAGAAAGGGTTAAGGAATCCACTATGAGAGGTGGCTACCTAGAGGGAGAATCTCCAAGTTCAAGGAATCTGCTATGGGAGGCAACTACTAGGGTTGGGCTTCATTCGAGTCGAACATGGGCCATTTGTGTGTCTGGCGAACACACGAACGGTAAGGGCGTTCGGCGGGCTGTTTGCCCTCCACATCCCACAATACACGGTGCCCTGACAGTGCATTGTGATTGGCCAAAGCAATGCACCTGACTACAGGAGTGTTTTTTTTTCTTTTTTGGGGGGGGTAGCAGTGGCGGCGGACATCAGGATTAATGTTGGATCTAGTTTGGGGGACATTTTATAAAATGTTTTTGATAAAGGACTTGTCAAAGACCGTCTCCTGTCATTGTAACACTACACCTTTTTTTTGTGAATGGGTATTGATACCACGTACCCCACATTCATATGCACATAGGTGGAGGGCCGGGATCTGGGGTCCCCCCTTGTTAAAGGGATCTTCCAGATTCTGATAAGCCCCCCACAACCACCAGCCAGGGTTGTGGGAAAGAGGCTCACTTTTGTAGCCATCAACATGAGGGATAAGGTGCTTTGAGGGGGGGAGCCCTCCTGCCCCAAAGCACACTCTCCCCCCATGTTGAGGGTATGCAGCCTGGTATGGTTCAGGAGGGGGGAGTTTGCTCATCTCCCCCCCTTCCCTGTCCTGCCAGGCTGCATGTTTGGATAAGGGTCTGGTATGGTGAAGAAAAGCAAAAACAGGGCGCACTCTCTTCATGCATGCTGGGAGCTGTATTTATGTTCTGTGAGCACATGGGCCCAGCA